AATTCATCTTGTATAGGGTGTAGGAAGTGGAAAAATGCAATCCTGATGTATAAAAATACAACTGCGTGAAACACACAGGCGTATCAAAATGCAACTGCGTGAAACACACAGTAGTATAAAACTTCAACTGCGTGAAACACACAGTAGTATGAAACTTCAACTGCGTGAAATACACAGCAGTATGGAAATTCGGCTGCGTGAAACACACAAACTTCACGCATGCGTGGAGTGTATGGAGTGTACGGGAGTGATTCACGCAATGGTGCGAATAGTCACGGCCTAAGAATAAACTGATTTCGTAACAATTAATAATATTTTCCTAGTTAACTTCGCAATTTTCTACTCTTGTTAACAACTTCTGTTCGTCTTTGGAGAATGCATTTGTCATCCCAGGACTTGATAAAATGCTTCTTCAACAGTCCACGAAATTTCGATTTTTTTCGACAATGTAACAATGATTTTTCCTAATTTGGTACTAAATATTCATGTTTCCATTGAAAATTCAAGAAATTTTAGAATTTCATTGAATTTTCAATAAAATCTGGAATTCCACGATTCTCTTTCTCCTAAATTAAATTTAATGTCACTCTAAATTAAGAATAAAATGATTTCGTAACAATTAATAATATTTTCCTAGTTAACTTTCACAATGTTCTACTCTTGTTAACCATTTGAATCCGTCTTTGGAGAATGCATTTGTCATCGCAGGACTTGATAAACTACTTTTTCAACAGTCCATGAAATTTCGATGTTTTCCAACAATGCAACAATTATTTTTGCGATATCCCCTCGTTTTCTCTCTCACTCTTGAACGTATATTTCGAAATCTCCCCATTACCCCAAAAAAAGGTTATTTATTGATACATGCCTGCCGTGCTGTGGTCCAACATTTCCGCTGTCAAAGCTCGAGCTGGCTGTTATATCTGCATCGGGTATAATTCCCGCTTCCATACCCAGCGGTGCGATGCATTGTGCTGCAGGAAATAGGGAGAAAAAAACCATGAATTGAAATAAAAAATTCATGATGCACACGAAGTCGGTTGAGCGCCAGGTACACTCCACCGACATTTAAAAGTCATGGAAAAAGTGATAATTGCGATATTCCTAACAACGTACATATGTCTATGGCACTTCCACCAGGCGGATAGAGTATCAGCGGGTACAGGAGAAACGACACCCAGAGATAATTCATTACGACAGCTTTGGAGAAATAAATGTCGCACCAGATTTTTTTCTCAACTCTATTTACTTCCCTTTTTTTCCGGTCTTCTACTTTACGACCCTTTCGTTCTCATCGCAAGCATGTGTCGAAGAGCATTATGAAAGAATCTGTAACATAAAAAATGTGTTTTCCCTCAGAGTCAATTAACGTTTTAATGGATTTTAAAATGAGAGAATGAAGTATTGGAGGAGGGAGAATTGTAAATAAGTGAAGGGATTTCGGTTTTTTCGCCTGTTTCTTTGTCTCCACCAACTTGTTCCTTTGACCGGTTGGAGAGAAAAAAAAACAGCACGATGATGGGACAAAGAGCGACATTCACGCTAGCAGCCATTACGCATCATTACCGAGATTACGATCAGTTGGGTAGAGAAGTGAACGAAATTGAAAGAGTAGAAAGAGTATGAAAGTCTGTGGGAGCTGGTGAGAGACGACGACCGGGGCGTGGATACACGTGTATATACAAGTGCTTGGGTGTTAGTGCCCCGTTGGGGTTCGGACCCACTCTCACTTGAGGAGAAGATGTTATATACGGTAAGCCAAAAAGGGCTGGTATAATGGAGTACTCAAGTAACAGTTTATTTTCTTGGCTACGTATTTTCCCTTTAAACTAGAGGGGATACTACCATTTTTACGTTATCGAACGATTCCCAGTGCCCCCCGCACAAAGAATGGGAGATAATTCGCCGTTGTCCCAGTGTGATAAGCAATTTGTGGACGTATTCGTGAGTCACATGCTGGTTTATCTCATCACAAAATCCTCGGGAATTACGAAAAAAAAATGTGTTGAAAGAATATACGAATTCGAATGAAGAAATAACGAGGTGCAGGAGTCATGAAATTTAATTTAAGGATATCCAAGTACTTTGGGTATTTTTTCATCGGTGCACGGATGAAATCCTTTTCTACTTTTGTAATCGAATACCAGAGCTTTCATTTGAGAAAGAGATTTTATTATTTAAATTTTGCAGGGCTGAATGTGTTTGAAAACATTTTAAAAATCTAAAAACAATTAGAAAGTTTACTTTTGGAGAAGAATTAATGAAATAATTTAAAAATTACAATTTTGCAATCAATTTCCCACTACAAAAATCATTTGTTCGGAATCGTAACCAATTTATTCACATTCGAAATTTTACCGGAAATCGATTTCATGCCTAAACAATAGCATTTCCGAAAGTTTAAAAAATTAAAAAATTTCAATCATTTATTTACAAACAATGAATGTTAAAAAAAAAATAATTCCGTGCAAAATGTAATTTGAATGACGCCGAATACTCATAATTGTTTCCAAATTTTTCTCCCGCAATTAAATCGACAAATTTGATGTTCGAAAATGGTTGAATCTATAGCACCTCTGTACCCAACTGTAAAAGACACCTGGATATCCTTAAAAACCCGATGACTTTTTTATTTCTCTGTTAATCACTCGAGAATTTAATACACCGAATAAATTCTTTTCATTAAATAAAGACATAAACTGGTTTCAGCATTCTTTCTCCTGCTTTAATTAACCTTTGAGTCAAGCGATCGCCAGGAAATCTTATAATACCCTTTTTCTCAATTCTCCAGTAATTTAATACCCCCTCCCCCCCTCTCGCAAATGGACCATCAATAAATTCCCGAAAACGTCATTTTGCCTAATAATAATAATAACCTGAATCCGCATGGATTACAATACCGAAAAGACCACCTGGTGCGCTCTGGGCATTTACGATATCCACGTTGGCTTGTTTCCGTTGTTTCTGTTGAACATAACATGGGATATAGGAGGTGGAGTCGTTGGGCTCAGTGTCGACTCCGGGGGGAGTTGGTGGTGTAGAGGTATGAGGGGGATTTACAGGGTACTACACATCCTCCCCCCGCGCCCACCATCGCAGTGTCTCTCTCTCACTCTCTTTCCCCTCATTCCACTGGGGGTACATCGGGGTTCTACGAGACACCGAGACTAAAGCCCTCCCCAGCATCAATAGTAATGCCTCGTCGCAAGGCACATAAACCGCAGAAATGTAAATACCAGTGCGGCCAATCAGGCTGATTGCTCCCATTCGGTCCCTGATGCCCACGAGGTCCGTTCTAGCTGCTCATCCTCTTCGTCATTCATTTCGCACTCAGAATGACGATCCTTGTACCATGGAATTCACTCGTATCCCTCACTCCAAGGCACTAATGAATCCCTCCATTGTTCGTTAGAAAGAAAAAAAGAAAGGCGACCGAAGAAATAAAAAGAAAACGTCGAAGCACTTCAGCTGAATTATTGCCCCCTCCATCACTCTCATTGTTTCGTGAATGATTTGCCCCCGCGAAAATTTTCACGTCCCTTTTAATTTGATTTATTAAACGTGTCAGCCATTAAGTCAACTGACACACAGCATCCTCCACCAATTAACGAAAAATATTTCAACGCACATTAAAATGTGCAACTGACTGCAGGTGCATTTATTTCTGCGTATTTCTCTCAATTTTCGTTTCGTTCACCATCTGTTCATTCTCGTTTCAAAAACGCCAAAACGTCGGCGGAGAGAGTGACGTTGTAACACCACTAGAGGGTTAAAGACGGCTTGCCGCTCCCGCGAGAGAGACGCGCCGACAATTTTCGTCGGCCGTTTTCTTCATACCACTGGCGTTTGCAAAGAGGGAAATGGTATATTTATTTTGCTCCTTTACCACCACCACTTCCCGGCACAACAAACGAGATAGAGGGTTTAGGGGGGTTTATATTTAGATTAGTCCTCGTCACTCTTCTCATTGCTCATGTCCGCCCACACCATATGAAACAACCCACCCAACCCCCTTTACCCAACCCCCACGGTTTTAAAATCACCATCGTCTCTCTGAAGTATCCACTTTTTTACTTCCTCTCTCTTGTATTTCTTTAACTTGTTGGGGTTTTTTTTAAATTATTTACATTCGTGTGGTTTACATTCCCGGAAGGATTCCTCTTTTTTTACCACCAGCCATGGGTCTGTTTTACATCCCTCGAAAATAATAAACATACAAATGGATGAGATACGGGACTTCTTTAGGTGCTTTTCCTTCCAACTAAAATGATATATAGGTGTATCAGCATAATCCAATATCGTTTGTTAGCCCTTAGCCTCGTGTATCAGGTCTGTAGGTATATAAATGTGTGGGGGTGTGTGTTTGGCACCGAGAGTAGCCGTCGGACCCCAGTTGCTACGGTCTCTCTCGTTGTGTATGTATTTTTATTACGTCTACAGGGAAATCTAGCCCTCTCGTATGTGCATATATACCATCTGGTAGCCAAAGCCGAGTTGTTTCGGTTTGCCTCGTAAATCGAGGTGATATTAAGCATACGGGATTCAAGCCCCCACGTATGTGTCCAATCTATCCTCGAATTAAATTGTATTCCATATAGATTCTATTATCCTTTTTTCTCATCAATGGGAGCTTGGTCAGTCTGCCTTTTTACGATCTTCTAATTTTACCCGCGAATTATGGACAATGACGCGATGCGTGACGATGTGTTTGCAGAAATTTTATTTTTATTTACTATTTTTTTATGTGTATAATTTTTCTATTAACATTTTATCGAAGGGCTGCACGGAGAGAAATATTCAGTAAAAATTACGTGTCTTTTCCGTAATTTCAGAGCGAAATGTGGTTGTACGAAATTTTATGGAACTGTCACGGAATTTTTCCGGAGCGCTCCGTAATTTTTATCTTAATGCCCTGTGAAAAATTACGATACCGGCACTTAAATTTTCTGAATTGATTCCGTAATCGGTGAGTAAATTGTGAGCTCCGTAATTTTTACTGAATATTTCTCTCCGGGTGAAGGGAGAGATAGAACTGGAAACATGACAATCGGCTGGATATAAGAAAAGGGATGAGAATAATGATGCTGATGACATTCAACTGAGTGGAAAATCTTACAATATTAGGTGAAAGGAAATTTTATTCAATTTAGAAAAATGAAATAAACAATCCAAAAAAACAACTAAACAATTAATTTTATATGATAGAAGGAAATGATGTGCGAAATAAACATTCGGGAGTATATTGCTAATTTATTAGCGAAAATAACTGTGCTATATACACTACAAAAGCAACTTCTCACTTGCTTTTTTTTTTGGGGGGGGGGGTGCCTGAATGCCTGTGGATTTTTTGGGAATTTTTAGTAAAGTTGAAGCTGAAGTCAAACTCTGAAATTTTGTCCCATAATTTTCCGGTGTTTAGAAGTTTTTCGGGGTGAAATGTCAGCTCACTGTTTTTCTTTTCGTAAGTATTTAAACCTTACGGCTCATTCTGCAGTAAAAATACAGCGATTTTGTGGGAATTTACACAAATGATAATTACATAGCTCAAGTGATTAATAATAGTTAGAGTTGAGACTTTTAAATTAGAAGTATTTAGGAACTCATCTGTGATGAGTATCACATCTTATCTAAGGTGTAGAGAAGAACATTGACATCTAAGAGTTAATTTGACGTTCCATAGCATGAGTAAAAGGTGGAAAAAACGTGGAATTTTGAAAGTTTACTGATTAATATTATCGACTCACACTTGTGTGAGAAATTTTGTGTTGTTCGATTCAGTACATGGGGTTATTCTATGAAACTATGTAACTGTTGATTTTTACGATTTTCTAATTTTGCCTGGAAATGACGTAGAATGTCGTGAAGCGGGCAAATATGTTTTTAAGAAAATAATTTGGGCATGTCTTATGATATACCGAGAATGGCCAGCGTTGGGCCATTCTCAGCCAATCTTGGCCCATTCCTCATCTCCCACCAGGCCAATATCCATCCCTGTGTCTTAACTTGACTTATCAACGGTTATACTTGCATATTCGATAAGTCAATCCCAAAAAGAGTATCAAGAAAAATTGAAATTGTGCGGAGAATCGTAAGTTAAGCGTCTAGACTTTTTAATCCGAGAATGAGAACAGCTTCAGAATAATTCGCATTCTTCATTATTATTAATATTATTACTATATTATTATTAAATTATGATCAATTACTATTAATTTATTATTATCATTATTATTATTAATTAATAACACATTAATTAATTAATTAATTGTTTGTTATTGATAATAACAAAATAATTCATTATTATTAATTCAATAATAATCCATAATAATCCATAAAATCAATGTATACCCGATACCTCCCAAAACATTGAGATCAAAAGTTGGAATTCAGTGGAATTCCTCTCTTATCATATAACACGGATGGGACTGTGGATCCAGTGGTTTCCAATCGTATAAGTAGTTTACAAAACATTGACCTTTTTGTGAAACCCCTATCGCTCAACATCACCGCAAACTGCTGGTGAGATAGATGTTTCCTCTATCAAAAATGCTCGTTATATTTTTTTCCCCTCCCCCCGACAGATAAATATTCTCCAGCGCCTGTGTGTTTTCGTTCAGGTACATAAACACTCGAGTCGTCTAGTTCCAGACCACCCAAAAATAATAAGGAAACATTTTTTTTTCCACGGAGGGATCTAAAGCACCAAGGGGGAGTCCTACCCAAAGGGCATTTATTGAAAGGAAGTCTTCGACTTGACGAGTGACTCACTACACCCGATTCAACGATATCTACCGTGTACAGCTTGATAATGTGTCTACCTCCGTGTACAAACCAACACCTACCGGATGTAACGTAGCAATCGTTTGTCGGATATGTTAACTCTCCGTCGTTGCTGTTTTTTTCACCCACCTTCCCTCTTTTTTTAATCATTATGATTATTCCCTTTGTCTTTGGTTATCTCATCCACTGCTTTCTCGGTAATGTTTTTTCCTTTTTTTTCCACCTAGCTAACCCTTTCATTCCTCTCCGCAAGTCATACGTGGATGAAAACGATACGTGTGTGCATTATATCGGCGGTGTCGCGATCTCTCATTCTCTCTTTGTCACTGGTCTGTCCTCTGTTAAACTTTTTTTTCCCGTCCCCCCTAGGTGCCCATAGATTTCATCAACACATCCGCACGCAGGTCTCATGGCACGTGAGTCGCATATAGTTGAAAATGTGCACGGCTGATGGATAGGGGCATGGCGAAATTTAATTTATCATCTTGTATGCGAATGAGAGAGACCCCTTTTTTTATTTATCATCGAGCAAGATTAAATATGAACAGCGGACAGTTTTCATGGGGTTATTCTTCACCCTCCAAAGTCAGCTGAAATATTATTCGATTGAAATACCGGCGAGTGCGCTTGCGCTCTTTCTCCTGGCTTATTAATTTTTATTATCTCATACTCGCCGTACGTATTTGTCGTTATTAGCGGAGTATAGCTGCGGAGTGCTGAGCAGTCCTATGCATATTCCATGGGCACTCTAGGATCAATTTTCCCACTCTCCTAGGGTTCTAAATATTTAATTACCCATTATGACATTGTGAAATCTCCGCATCTCCACTCGATTTTAATCTCAACTCTGTGATCGATCGTGCGAGATTTTCCATGTTGATGGTTATGCGGGGGGGGGGGGNGGGGGGGGGGGGGGGGGGCAATTATTGGATTTTTTTTTACTGTCGAGGCTTTCTTTTGTCAGATTTAGGCAGACGTATAATTTAACCCGAACGGAGGGAGGGCAGATTGTCTATACATATATCGGTATTCAATACTGACCCAATGTTCGGAACAACCCCGCGCCTCTGGGGCTCAAGTCATCAACCTGGCACACGCGATATCGACCTGTTAGCAAGGCAGCCAGTATCAAGTCGATATTAGAAGGAAGGCTGGCTGCTGCCAAGCTGTATTACCTCCACATCCCGGTTTTTCACCTTCTCCCTTTCCTCTATTTATTTTGCCCCTTCTTTTTACTCTTCTTTTCAAAACTCTACCCATAGAATCTTCAGACTAGTGCGGGGGGAAAGAGCGAGGGGAAGGGATTAAGTTAAAAAGGCCTATGGCCACTTTGCATTCGTAATGATCTCGTATCTTGTACATATTTTATGGATATCAATCAAGTGACACCTTGTTATATTTATTCCACTCGAACGGAAATCTAGAAATAGGGTATCGGGGGTCTCTGTCAATCAGGAAAAATTCGGTGTACTCGTGAAATCGAGATAATTTATGGGACTGTTTTTTACCTTTTCAGTCGAATTTCCATCGCCGATAATCCACATCACAATGGCCCACCAATTACGACAGCACCATTACAATCCCTCATCAATGGAAACACCTGTTTTTTCCAAAATAAAAAACAAAACCCCCGAAATCACAGTCACAATTCCGTCACCGCCGCGACATAAAATCACACAATTCCGCACAAAACCCTGGCCCTAATTCCCAGTGACAATTCCCACAATATCTCAAACATCTCATCATCAATAATCCCACGAAAATCCATGAATAATCAGCCGATAACCGATAAACCCCCCCCGTCAAAATCACTGAACAAAGTCGACAAAAAGTCACCACCCGCTGATGCCGTAATATCAGTCTGTCGTGACCGCGGCGCGGCACAAACTGACAGGCATAGTGAATTCAGAGTATGGCCGAGACGCCTCGAAATCCATGATGGGGAAGGGTCACGGTAGTTCGATCGCCCTGCCTAGAAGTACCACCACCACACACTCCTTTCAAAACTGTTCAACACTCTCAAACCCCAGTGCCACCTAGTACATATTTCCGAAAACTCATTGTTACAGTCGGTAGCTCTCCCTCATCCCCCACCCCCTACCCTCTAGCCCCCTTTACGAAACCTCTCTCACTCGCACGCGCATAACAACCCCTCCGCCATTCCAACCCCCACCCTCAACCCCTCTTGCCCCCCCTGCGTTATTCTCCCACCCCCCGCTACATACCATTTCATACCCAATACACTTAAGCATGAATAGAATACGAATATACCGGCACAGATGCACTCGGTCTCTGCACGTGTGTTGAATGCGGCACACGTGTACAAAGGCAGTTGGGATTTCAGTTTGGCGATGCATTTGAGGGTGTTTGAGTCCTTGGAGAGGGGGGGGGGCTCTACCCCCTTGCGACACGTACAATCGCATATCGAAGTGAGCACGAATGTGCCCCATACAACCAACCCCCTTGGTCCTCTTCACGTACCTATGGTTTATCGAAGCCAAGGCCGTGTATGAAGCACAATAGTAATGAGGTTGGTCGGTG